CGTAAATCGCGTTATCACGTCCAAAATATTCACAGTCGTTATTAATTTGTGATTTGATAGTTTAATTTCTGGATAATATTTATTACTTTGTGCATAAGTGCCGGGAAGGTGTTTATTTCAGTTGTTCACTTTGCATGTGATTTTGTCTTAGGTTTTGTGTATGAAACAAGATGGCTGTTTGGTGTCGCTAACAAAAAATGTTGTTCCGCGAGGAATAGGAACAACCAAAACTTAAAAGATGGAATTATTTGTAGCTTTTAGATAACCAAACTGATTTTATGTTGTCGAGGACCCATTCTTATTATATAAAACAACATAATGTCATGTTACTCGGAACATGTTCGCAGCAAAACTTTCGTTTTTCAAGATGGCGACATCCACTATTATCGCCGTTATGCTGAGAGTATACGATTGTATCGACCCTCGTATATGCACATTTCGGCCTAAACTACCAAATAGTTAATACAATTTGGAGGTTAGATATCACAAAAAATTAATAACATTATTTCCATTGCAGTTAAAATTCAGTCTCGTTTGTGGCCAGATTTCAACCAGAAGCCATACACTTATCAGGATGCCATACAAGTTAAATAGATGAGAACGTTCTTAAGGATATAATGTCGTCCCAATCAATTTCACTGTCGCTGAAATCGTCATGTTTTCCCCGCATTTCGTTATAATAAAATACTCGAAAGAAAGTTATAACTTGTCAGTAGTGAACAGGATAATAAAGTTGTGTGCGTCTGCGCAGAAATGAATCGCAAGGTATTCGGGGTGAAAACGATGTCATACTATATGTTAATTTTATGTTAATGTTGACAGCGCGGGGATTACCGGTGAGCTAATTTTACGAACACAAACCGCGCATTGTGACAATAGAACTCGGAGCGTTTCCTAACCGGGTGTTGAGGGACTGTGGCTCATACAATGTGTAACTGGTGTTTATTTTTATAAATATTCAAGTTTATAAGTAATTTATAATATTTTGCTGCAAAGTGAAAACCATAAATTTAAAACCCAGTGAATATGCACAAATTATCAATAAACTGAAATTAATTATCCTATTGTATTTTTGTTTGTGTGACTGAAAACTAACTGAAAAATGCTGGACAATAACAAAGTTTTGACTGTATATACTTTTATCTTTCAGGGCGATATTTCCTTGTGGGGACAATATGGTCTGTATTATTGATGATAGGGAAGATGTCTGGAATTTTGCACCAAACATGATTCATGTGAAGCCATATCATTACTTTGAAGGAACAGGAGATATCAATGTGCCGTCAGGACTGCAGTGTAAAGATATGGAGCAAACTGGAATGCCAACAGTTGAGCAGGAAAACAACAACATTCCAAAATGCAAGGATCAAGTCGAAGGAAATAACGGCCAGCAAAGTAAAGCTAAAGAGACAAGTTGTGAAACTGTAAAAGAAGAAGAAACCCCAATAAAAGACTTGGGTGAAGAGACTGACAATAATTGTGAGAATACCCAGAAAGTTGAAGTTGTGGACTCAGACATAGCTGGCTCTGTTGAAAAATGTTTAGGAGATCCTTTGAATAAAGGAGATTCTTCAGAGATGGGAGATACTGCATCACAATATTCAGAAATTGAAAATGCAAACAAATCAGATGTCTCAGAACATGCACAAAGAAAAAATGGCAACAGCAAAGATAAGGACATTAACAATAGCCAACAAATAGACAATGACAACACTAAAGAGAAATACATCAGCAAAGAAAAAGACAATGACAACAGCAAGGAGATAGACGATGACAACGACAAGGAGAAAGACAATGGCAACAGCAAAGAGAAAGAGATTTCTACAAAGAATGAAAATGAAACAGAATCAAAAGACTCTCTTCCTGATAAGGACAATGACGACTACTTAATGTATCTGGAAGACATCCTTGTGAATATTCACACAAAGTTCTACAATGCATATGATAAATTGCAGAAAAATCAGAATGATTGCAATACATCCAGTGTTCCAGACTTGAAAGAAGTTGTGCCATCACTGAGGCAGGTTCTGAAAGGGACAAATATTTTGTTTAGTGGTGTATTCCCAACAAACATGTCTCCTGAAAAAAGTCGTGCATGGAAAGTTGCTCAGACCTTGGGTGCTAATGTTCAGTCATCATTTGTCCCCAAATTGAAGGACAAAACCAATGCTGCTACTGCTACCACTCATGTAGTTGCTGCCAAAGCAGGAACAGTAAAAGTTAAGCAAGCACAGTGTACAAGAGGAATTCATATTGTGACGCCTGAATGGTTATGGTGTTGCTACGATCGATGGGAACGTGTTGATGAGAGGATCTTTCGATTGAAATTGAGTGATGGTTCAAGTTCAACATCTAGTAGCAGAAGTAACAGTCCTGCCATTCGATCTAAAGACTTTAGAAAGAAACAACTGCCAATCCAACCTCCGGAGCCACCACCTGTAGCTATTTATGATCCTGTAACCGGGAAAAGAATCAGGAAAGATCCAGGAATTCCATCAACGCAACCAGGTACCTGTAAGGAGAGTGGAAAAATTCCTAAGGTAGAAGAGAAATCTACTAAATCTCGAAAAGATTTCAGTCGGCAGCCAAGCATCTCAGAGACTGTCAATCCTCTTTACAGTTTTTCATCAGATGAGTTGGAAGAAATGGATAAAGAAGTAGAAGATATTTTTGGAGAGAGTGACAGCGATAATAGAGATGGATCTGGTTCATCTAGTAGTGATTCAGAAACCCTCGGTAGTGCAACTAGACCACCATCATCATCATCCAGTGGAGAGAGTTTAAGTGGTGAACATCCTAGAGGATGGAAAAGAAAGAGACGACCTCGTGATCATGATAACGATGAAATTATTATACGTCAACAAAAAAGACGACATGATAGTAGTTCAAGTGCAGGGCTTAGTGAAGATGGTGATGTTAGCAGTGATGAAGATAAGATGGCCGCTGCAATAGATGATCTTCTGACATACAGTAAAAAACTCTAGATGATTATGATTTGGTTGATCGGAATTAGACATGCAATATATGTATTTCTTTGAAAGATAGTCTTGTTGTGTATATATTTGTATATATTTAGCAATTCCAAAATAGTTCTTTACATATTTTATTCACTTTCCATTTATAGTTCTTCTTTTTGTATTCTTGTATTTTGTATTGTTGGGTTACAGTTACTCCTGAACAGGCTGCTATAGTATATAACTTTACTAAATGTAACCATGATTTAATGAAATAAATAAAATATATGTACAAATCTTACTCTGTATGCAGTGTGATTTTATGCAATTATCACTTGTTTGTAGAGCCAGTTTCCGGTAATATGATTGATGTCATGGCGAGTATTCTCCAAAAACCAATGGTTGGTGGATTATACAGCCCATGGCGCTATGAATAAATGATATCAGTTGTTGTTGGTTTTCAATGATTATCAGAATTATTCTTAGCAATACATATTCAGTCAGTAGAGTGGTGAGTTGCTGCTTCATGCATGTAACTTGGTTACTGCAAAGTATTCACAAAGATTCTAGTGAGATTTTGACACTTAGTGGTGGAAGTCGATGTGACCATGTATTCAATCGTATAATTTGCAGTATCCTCATAACCTTATTTATACGTCTTTGCAACCAAACAATTCATTACGGAACAAGAAAACTTGCATTTTGTAATGAGGTAGGATGTAAAATTGTTATAATCTTTTTTCTTTGCATACTGTTTAATGGGACGCTTGTATACTATGTTCTCATGACAAACAAGCCATGCATGGCACAGTCCCCGTTAGTTGTCAAATTTAAGATGTATAATTTTGTTTATAGTAATATAGCTGGAATATAACCATGTCAGGAATATGATATTTTAACATTAAAATGATTGACATTTGTATCTGATCGTCAAATAAGTACTTGTCCATATTGAGAGATATTGCTCTGGAACAGCATCCAAAATCAACCATTTTGAGTACATGTATATATATAACATGATGTATAACGAATATATAAAATTTAAATATAAGTCAAAGCATTTAAGAGAGATGGCTCTAGAAGCCCAATCATTAAAACAAAATGGCTGCCAGTCAGCCATTTTGAATCTAATCTGAAAAATAAAATGACTAGCATCAGGAACCCGTAATGTCTAATGTATGTACCAAGTTTGAACGAAATCCACCCATAAATGCTTGATATTTGATGATTGTTTAGCACAAAAAAGGCCACCATTTGGCCATTTTGATTAGGATCGCCAAACCAATACATCTGTCTATCTATGACATGATGTATAATGAATATTTAAAATTTGAACATAATCAGTGAAAGCAAGTCAGAAATATGGCACGAGAACCACATTAATTAATACAAAATGGCCGCCAGTCGGCCATTTTGAATCTTATCTGAAAAACAAAATTATTTGCATCAAGATCCCATAATGTCTAATGTATATACCAAGTTTGAACAAAATCCATTTGTAAACAGCCAAGAAATGGTTGATTTTTAAGATTTTTTAGCACAAAAATGGCCGCTATTCGGCCATCTTGAATCAGATCGTAAAATAAAATGTGCATCAAGGTAAATTTAAGATGTATAGTTTTGTTTATAGTAATATAGCTGGAACATAAACATGTCAGGAATATGATTATGATGATTGTTCAACATTATTAAAAATGATTGACATTTATATCTGATCGTCAAACAAGTATTGAGAGATATTGCTCTGGAACAGCATTAATTAAAACATGTATAATGAATATATATAATTTGAACATAATCAGTCAAAGCATGTCAGAGATATGGCACTAGAGCTGCATTCATTAATACAAACTGGCCATCAGTCAGCCATTTTAAATCTGATCTGAAAAATAAAATGACAAGCATGAGGAACAGTTTGAACAAAATCCATCCATAAATGCTTGATATTTGTTGATTTTTTAGCACAAAAAAGGCCACCATTCGACCATTTTGAATAAGATCGTCAAACCAATATATCTGTCATTTTGAATCTTACATGTATCTGAAAAACAAAATGATGTGCATCAAGGTCCTATATATTGTCCAACGTATATACAAGGTTTGAACAAAATCCATCTGTAAACGGCTGAGAAATGCTTGATTTTGATGATTTTTAGCACAACTGAAATCTGTACACACAGTTATGGAATGACTGAACTGCTTGATTATGTTGGTTTTAGCACAAATATGGCTATCATACAGCTATTTTGAAAT